TACTGAATTTTCATTATGCTTTTACAATGCTGGAAACGAAACATTTCAGAAAATTTACTCAATAATTTCCTCTCGAAAATATGAATTAGCGGTGAAGATTTTGAAACACCGCAACCAAAAAATGCCCTCTCTGCACCCAACACCTCAATTTTTAAGACTGAGATGGAACAAAAAATTCATATTTCACCTGCTCTTTTTCTCCTCCCCCCCCCTTTTTTTTGAAAATTTTGTATCCACATAAATTCCTAGTTTTTCTCACCGTGCGCACTGTGACCCTGCAGCGAAACATCCTCTTATTATACCTGGCGAGCTATTTGCCCATAACCACTCCTCTGAAAATCCTTGCTCATCCTGATCACTAAGAGAGCCCATCTCTGTTGGCGAACAAATATCTTAGTTCTCCTAGTTCAGATGAGAAGCTAGCATACAGTGACAATTTATGATAAGAGTTACCAATGCTATTTTACAATTCATTACTATTTAAATTCATTAAAAATGGCAAATTTAGGTGAGAAAATTTGCATCATTAAGAATCGATTGTTTTACATACATTTAACTGGAGGTATACTAGTGTCGCCAGGGCCGGATTAAGGGGGTGCCCACACGGGCTACGGCCCATGGCGGCAAATCTATGGAGGGCGGCAAATTTTGCGATTTTTTTAAATGTAGGTGTAAAAAAATCGAATATAGAAAAAAATACAAACGAGAGAAGGCGACAAAATCTCTCATTTCTTGAGAGTATAGTAATTCCTAATTTTGTCGTCTTTCAGTGACTCAAGAGGAAGCACCTTTAATTAGTCGAGTTAAGAGAGAGACCAAACACGCTATTTGGCCTGGAACGGCGCGACTTAGAGAGAAATGATGACGAGGACTTGAGACGAAAAGGAGAAGCCCTCGGCGCGGTGATCGGCATGTAACACATATTAACGCCTACAAGACTGCACGAATACTTCACACATTGCATCAAAAACAGAGCGGTCATTGCGGTCAGCGTGAAACTCATAGCGCCTACAAAACTGTCTGAATACTTCACGCATTGCGCCAAACTCGGTACGGTCTGCGTGGCGCGACGGCGGAAGTTAAAATCATTAATCCACATTTATGTTTGTTCTTTCATAATTGTTTCGTTCATTTCTTATGTAAGGCTAAGGAAGGCTTTGTCCACACAGAGATAGGTTTACGAAACTTAACTTTCGCGCAAAGTTCCGTGAACTTTTGCTAGTATTGTTGACAGGGCTTTTCCGAAAAATGTGTTCAACACGACTAAACGCGTCTTATGCACCCCTCCTCCGCTGGCACGTTCATTTGATGGTTTTTATTGATGTTTGAAAACGAATGAGAAGGAGGCGGCAAAATACAGGCGGCCCATGGGCGGCCCATGGGCGGCACGTAGATAAATCCGGCCCTGAGTGTTGCCAGTCTTCAAGACTCGTCACTGCAGCATCCACCATTAATTAGATTTCACACTTAAAACTGCAGCATCAGTAATCCGCCTCTGATTTCTTCTTATAATTGGTTAATTTCAAAGAATTCAATATAACAATATTCCATCTTCCTCTCCTTCTGTAGATGTCTCTTTGTTCTTCATGACCTGATAAATCTTTTCGTCGCAGATTAATCGATCAAATAAGTACATGTAACCTTCGACGCTTCTACAATATTCACTGTGCCGTGGAAAAATCCAGAGGTTGGCAAATATTCCCTGATAAAATGTGTATTTATGAGAAAAATGAATATTTACCTTTGAATCTTTCAGATAAATTCAATAATTTCGAATTTAAATCTTTCTATTTCCAGTTCAAAGTTCTCCTCCGATGAATCTGGCGCATATCAATCGATTAAAATGAAGATTGGCTGCTTACTTTTCCTCACTGTCATCACCGCTACAGGCATGTTCCCCGAGTGTGACGCGACTGTTGGTGCTTTGCCGATCGTATATCTGGGCGGCGGATATTTTGACAAAGCTCTTGAGGCTCACAATTTTTTGAACGAGAAAAAGACCGAATATTCGGAGGCAGCGAAGGATAAGGCCCAAGAGCACATTGCAAAATTGTCTGATACTGAAAAATGATACTGAATAATACTAGATCGTGCATCTGATGTCTATGAAACGCACAATACATGTGTTTCAATGAAAAGTACTGAGTTCTCAGGCGCTGGGGTCGATTCTTGAAATTTGGCAACACCGTTTTCCCTTCATCTGTATGTATGTAAAATAATCGATTCTTTGTGAGGCAGCTTACCTCACATAAAATCGACAGTTTTAAAGGATTTAAATGGATGAAAAACAGTGTTATCAACTTGCAAAATTGCCACTGAGCACTAAGTGGGAAAAAGGAGAATAAAAAAATAACACGGACATAGAATGAATGAGCGACACTGTAATTTCTACAGACGGTCAACTGTTCAAACGAGGAATTTTTCTGACCAGTCTTTTATGGTTTACATCATTCGTAGCCGCTCGTACTTCACCTCTAATTGTAAGTTCTATGATTGGCTCAACCCGCTGATTTTAAGATCATGTTAAGGCCGGCCATAGGTAACATAATTCGGACTTGGAACCATTGATTACACTTTGATTTAAAATTATACATTGTAGTGTTTACGAAAAAAATGGAATTTTTGTGACTACTTGAATCCTGGTTACACATCAACCACATAACCTTTATAACATGTTCCGCTTTATTTGCGAGAGACGGACAATGTTAATTAATGTCAACAAATATGCATAGTTTATGTTATATTAACATATTGTTATGTAAGTACATTACAACTTTGTTAATCAATTTCTGTCACGTAATGCATAAGAAATATATATTTATAATCTGTCAATGTGTTAAACTTCCTCATTAACCATGTCCAATAGAAATTGTCAAGACTTATACTGACAGACATTGTTGTTCACGCTTATCTTAGTCATAAAATGAAAATTCTCAATATTCGCACACTTACAATATTTTCACAATAAACCGTAGAATTCACTTAATTTTTTCAGATAAAACTGAGAAATTTTTTCGGTATCACACAATTCTCGATATGTGATAAAATGCAATTTATGAATATGGTAATTTTTTAATTCAACGGTGCTGAACTGTTATTTTATTTTAAAATGGTCCGGCGCGGATTTTATAAGTATTAAAAAAAACACGAAATAACGAAACCCTAGTTTCATCTCTAGGATGTACAATCAGAAAATACAGTTGATTATGAATTTCAATCAACCTAAAAGATTAAAGCGTAGGTAACTTTTCTACAAGCTTTCAACGATTCAGAACGAGCCCGCATGTCACTTTCCGGTAAGCAACTCGGGCACTCAGTATATACGAGGGTCATCCAAAAAGTAAGGTTCCCTACCTTGTATCTTCCAAGCGAGACAAAATAAATCAAATCGGTAAAGAATCACGTATGAGGCATACTCTAAGCTTTAAAAGAAGCTCAAGTTTTTGAAAATCGGTCGTAGGATTCGCGAGTAAACTTAATTTTACAGAGACGACCTCCTGTCGGCGCGTGCCCACCTCCGGGGTCAGGATGCGCGGAGAGTCGATTATTGAAGACTCGGGTTATCGCCTCTATACATCACATCAAGAAGGAATTTTAAAGTTTTCATTGAGTAGGCCTTACCTTACTTTTTGACGTAGTCTCCACATCTTTTTTTGACATTTCTGGTATCATTACAGCAGCTTCTTGATGCTTTCCGCGAAGAAGCTTTCGCCTTGACTCCAAAACCAGTCATTGACAGCGATCTGTACTTCCAAATCAGTTGCTTTGCGTAGGGAAATTTTCCCCAAATCCTTCAAACTCTCTTACTTTAGCTTCATGTGACTTCCATTTGTTCCCGAGCGGAAAAACTTCCACGATGGAAGCAATTTTCAACCGATTCAGAGGTACAGATAGCTGTCAATGACAAGGCGAAAGCTTCTATACCCGGAGGGCATCAAGAAGAGCTGAGGAGGCTGTAATGATACCAGAAATGTCAAAAAAAGATGTGGAGACTACGTCAAAAAGTAAGGTAAGGCCTACTCAATGAAAACTTTAAAATTCCTTCTTGATGTGATGTATAGAGGCGACAACCCGAGTCTTCAATAATCGACTCTCCGCGCATCCTGACCCCGGAGGTGGGCACGCGCCGACAGGAGGTCGTCTCTGTAAAATTAAGTTTACTCGCGAATCCTACGACCGATTTTCAAAAACTTGAGCTTCTTTTAAAGCTTAGAGTATGCCTCATACGTGATTCTTTACCGATTTAATTTATCTTGTTTCGCTCGGAAGATACAAGGTAGGGAACCTTACTTTTTGGATGACCCTCGTAGTATTGAGTAGGGGGTTGAAACGATCGGAAAGGCGGTACAGTACTATACGCGCCAAAAAAAAAAGTGAATGTTTTGCAACGCCGAATAAAAAAAAATGTTCAATGCTTCCCTTACGCGAATCAATTCCGAGAAGTAGATAGTTTGATTTATTCGGGTCTAAGTCGGAAAATCGTCAAGCATTGATTTTTCACAGAATGTAATTTTTTTATTCCACGCAAAGAGACTATCGGAAAAACGGGATAATTTTTCTGCGCACTTTAGTTTGACATTGAAAAATTGCAAACATCTATAAGCAAGGCCATGACATCTGCTACATTTGCGCAACAATTGCGCACTATCGTTATCATGTAAAGACCTCTGTTTCCACTTCACTGCATAACCTGAACCTTCAAGATATTACATTTTCTCAATTTGTTTCATCTATTACGTAAATTAGTTCCTCGTTTATTTCCGCGGGCAGTCGTGATTGACCTCCCCAGATTTCCGGTTTTTCTTGTGTTTACTATTTTCCTCCGACTGAAACAAGCTCCTTAAACCTCCAACAATGGTTTTTATCTGGCTTATCATTAATGCTTCACTTAGTTCGAGTAATTTGAACGAGTGGAGAGACCTTCAGATGTACATGTGAAAAATTGGGAGCTGGAAAAGAGGGAGGAAAACTATAAATAAGAGAATTACATACGGGCACAACTTACTCAAAGCCACTTGCAGTCGAGCTCTGGCATTTTCAAGCCACTCGATCTCTTTGTATCCTCCAATTTTTTGCCTCCAACTCAAAATAAGTAAGTTATTTTGCATTTTATGCACATAAAAGCTGATAGGCTCATATTATAGAACTACTGATGACATGGCTGTTCTGTGTAAAAAAAAAAGGAATAACTTAGAATTTTTGCTTTTTAGTTTGGGCCAATACAAGCAGATTTCTCTTGAGATTTTTTTCATATATTTCTTTCTTCCTTTGTTACAAGAAACAGTGGAAACATTCTTATTAATTAAAAAATGATCGTAGTATAATTATGCAATACACATTCATCACTCTTTTGATATAGATCCAAAATTACATTTACTCAGACTCTGATGAAGATCTAAAGGACGGAAAATGACGGGTCCTCATCAAAGTATGGAGCTGATTAAAACCACCTTCATTTTATAAAATTAAGAGGGGGGGGGGTAAACGATTTTCATCACAAGCTTGAAGGCATAGTCAGGTTTTTCGGTTGTATGATTTTACTCCTTAAGTACAAGTGTATATTTTTCGATTTAATCAGCCCCATACTTGGACGAGGACTTGTCATTTTCCGTCCTTTAGATCTTCATCAGAGTCTGAGTGAATGTAATTTTGGATCTATATTAAAATAGTGATGAATGTGTATTGCATAGTTATACTACGATCATTTTTTAAAACTTACACTAGGTTCAGCAATTTTTTTTATTGAAAATGGAGAACGGTGTAAACAAAACTGAAACTAGAAAATCAATATCTTTCGGAGGGTTTGTCTCCTCTAAAAATTATTTTTACCTAAAAAAAGTAAATAAATGAATGACACAAAAATAAATGTAATAAAAACCACAAATTAGGAATTCATGATAAACACAAACAGCAGCAGGTCAATACCTTTTTTCTTACTTCATTTTTTAATTGTGTTTTCAACCAATGTAATACTGCAACTGCAATCCACAACAAAATCATTCCTATTCGTCTTATTGATCAGTTGCAATTTTTAAAATTAAACTAAGTTATTAATATTTTCTCACCGAAGCTCATTATTTATCTCGCTAATAAATGCTATTTTTCATAGATATACAGTTACCTATTTCCTCATTCAGAAAGTTTTCACCGCAACATTGCGTTTTTTTGCAATTCAGCATAGAGATTGAACTTTCCAGATTTTTTGTAATACTTATTCAACTTTGATGCGGGAGAAAGGTAGCTAGTGCCATATTACATGAAATTTCACACTTGAACAGTCTTTGCTGTCGAAATTTTTCGACTTTAAAAAATTGGCATAGTGTGGCACTCAAAGCGGTAATCGAAGATAATACATTTATGAATGAATATCTTAGCTGATATGGCCCATTGTATCAATAAGAAAAATATAAAAACATATCGCGCCCACTTTTCTGAATAATTTCTGTTTGAATATTTGGACTACAAACATAGAACCTTTTTGGATCATTCCGGTTGATACGCGAGACATTTATTCCTTCCAAGAGAGTAATCAATCATCTATACTTCAGTTAAATTTTCACACGTGTAAACTCAAAAAACAAGCTCAGTGAGTACTTTCTGATGAAGGTTTAAGAGTAAGGAACCTTTAGTCGAGTAAATATCAAACCGAGAATAGAGGTTTGAATTTTCATTTCTGACTGGATATTAGAGAAGCTCGGCGCCTACTTTATTGATTTGCCTAAGTACAGCACCGAATTGGATTGCATTTTGCAATTTGGACCCATAAATTCTGGCTCATCTGAAAAAACACTTATGTGTATAGGGAAACTAATGGTACATACGTTGTTTTTAAACTGGGCCGGAATTTATAGGTCCAAATTGCAAAATGTAGATTTGCAATCATGAATGCAATTATGAATTGCCACCCGCCAGCTGTTTTGCAGTTTTTAAGTGTCTGATGAAATGCAGAGCATCCAAAATTTAGGTTTGATCGTATAACGGCAGGGCCCCTTCCTCCTCCAACTTACGACCGAATCTCCCTGAGAATCATAAAACTGACTAACCCTTTTTTTGTGCCAGGCGCCCAGTCAAAACCACAGTTGCCATGCAGCTCCTCAGCTTTAGTTTTGCCGTTGCTACATTGATGTGCTGCTTGATATGCTTGTGCACCGTCACGGCCAACCCTAATGGCGTGAAGCAATCGCAAACTACGAAGACGAAAACGACAACGACATACGCTGCATACCCCGGATACGTCGCGGGAGGTTGATACGCGGAAAACTCGGAATCAAAAACATGAGACCTGGACGGCGAATTAAAAATAATTGATAAATCACGTTATTGTTCTTATTACTCTCTTCATCTTTCATTCCTTTCACTAATTCTACCGCAGAGCTGCATAAATTAAGGGATATTTTGTGAAACCTGATCGTTTCTCAACGAACTTATTGTAATTTTATAGAGTACATAGAGTCGTAATGTAAATGGGAGAGCTGGCGCCATGTTCTGCTCGACGAGTTCCGAGCCCGGCATGCGCCGAGTTCGGGTCACTTTTTCGATACATTTTCGATCCAAAATGGCGGTGTGGAATACGTGCTGATTCCTATCTTCTTTGTTTACATTGGATGGCCGGGTACCCGTGTATCGCAAACAATCGATTATGTATCGAAAAAGTGACCCGGCGTCACACAGGAGTCTCGGAATTCGGGACCTGGCAAATGCTTAAAAGTGACGCCAGCTCACCCACTTACATTACGACTCTATGTACTCTTCGTGTAATTTCCATGGAAGTTGGGCGTTGATGATGAATCCTCCTAAAGGTGTAGCCTCCAGTGGCGCCGCATGCTTTGCGATATATCTATTGATCTGTCATTTAAACCTATGGAATAGAATCGATAAATCGATGGGATATATCGATAATCGATCATTCACGCCTCGTCATTGGTAGGGTCAATCAATTTTCTCCTGCGTCTCTTCTGCTGTCCTCAAGAAACTTACAAAATCCTCACGCGTCAAATAAAAGCGAGCTGCCCTATTCTTATATCTTAAAATTAAATCACGAAAAATAACTAACCACTAATCGCTTACTTAAAAATCTTTAAAAAGGCGGAAATCCAGCAATTCTTTACCGACGTATACATGTCACCAATTTTTTAGATATAGTAACTTGTACGAATTTTAATTGACTAATATAAATGATATTAGACTCTTTAAATAAACTACATAACCACCAAACAGGCAGGCACAAGCGACGAGCAAAAATCCAAGATATGTTATCATAAGGTAAAGAAAAGAAGACACTCTGTCTGAATATTCGGTGTTACCGAGCAATTTTTAACATTCATGTATGTATAACAGTCCAAAAAATGAGTTGCGCAACATAACAAAAACCAGCAGTATGTGCATGTACAATACCCCCAGCAAAATATCCTGGACAGTTAACAAGGCAGAAGAGACTTTAACATTTTGATAGAATACCTTCACTCCCAACCTTCTTCAGGTACAAAGGGGGGTGTTGGGGGGCCTCCCCCGAGAAATTTTGAAAAATTGATTCCATTTCAGGTGCATTTTGCGACAACTCCGATGAACATTTTTACTTAAAATGGGTGTATTTTGAGATTTTATGAAATTATTCTCTGTATATCGTCTCATTTTGCTTTGCGTAGCAATCGCCTATTAAGTCAACATTTTCAATCTAAGGTAAGGGAAAGTTGTATAATTTCGAATTCTGGAAAAGAGGTCTCCCGGCCTTTAAATAGCTACGCCCATGATCCTTACTCGCATAAACTTCAAGGGAATCGATATGCGACAATACTTACAAAATAATACCGAGTAACCGGCGGACTAGAGCAAAAATTAAATAAATGAAACTTGTTGGGGTTGTAAAATATAGGACTCGGCTGTAAAATGATATGCAAAATACAGCAGTTGATCGCAGAAGGTCGCAGTATAAAACAACATTTAATAGAGCGAACTGGATGATTTTGATGTCAAAATAGACAGGATGATCACGAATAGGAAGCGAAATAAAACTGAAAATACAGAGAGGACTTCTGCGAGCACTGAGTAGTATAAGTGTAGGCACTGTACATTTAGTAGGTCAGGTGATCATTGGCACTGGTCATCGCTTCGGTTGTACAAGACGTGGTGGTTTTTGGTTTTCATATCTCAAAGAAAATGTTGGTCCATTGAAACCTTCCTGCGCGTGTATACTTCTAATTTCTAATTGCAAAAACCAACGTAGGCATCTTCTTAAATCATCTTATTATTGGTGAAAGTAGGGACAATGTAACTCATGCTGTGAACACGAGTGCTACTCCAAGCTTTAAATCGTAATTTGCCTCTTTCGGAGATAGGGCAATATTATCTTTTAGAACCACGGAGCACAATAGAGTTGCAAGTAATAGAGCGCTGATGAATCATTTTTTGAAGCTGTTTTGTCCAGTCTTTCTGAGACTAGTATTCAGCGACTGGCAATGCCTCATGCGCAAGGTCCCAGCTCCGAGCTTCGCCAAGCGAATATAGGTATAAAATTTATTTCATGAAAACCGGACGTTTCGTACATCATTGAATTTGCTATGACTTAGGCCGACGTGGTTTGCCAAAATTCGAAAAAATAATAACCGAATTGAATTAATTAATCCTGAAAACTACTCGCAGATAAAGCGATTCTTCCAAAAGCCACCGCGCCGTGTTAAAAAGTGCCGTTTGGTTCACACTTTTGGCGAATGAGAGGCCGGAAACGCACCGTTCAAGGATTGACTTCAGCGGTTCTCTAGTACATGGCGACTCAATCGTAGTCAGAACCGCAGTAGAACCGTAGTAGAATCGCAGTCAATGTTCAGAACTTATCATGATTTTTTCAGTTCCTCAAAACTATTTTCTGAAAATATATTGAAAAATGTTGGCCACTAACCTCTCAAAGAATCTACAGCGCATGAAAATTGTGAATCATCGTAGTTACGATAAGCAATGCATATCCCCGTTAAATCAAATCTTTAATCTTGGAGGCTTTTTTCGGCTCATGACGATGAAGATCTCGGCATAATAGAGTAAGACAAACGCCAAGCTGGATGCAATACCTTAAAACGACTGTGGTTTAGATTATGGGAATAAGAGGAACGGAATAAGAGAAGGAGGGTGGAAAGTGACAGCAAGTGGAAGCATCGTCCCGGTTGCTACGGGCATAGGAGCAGAAGCAGCGCCTTCAGTTATTCTCATATGTAACACGCATATCCCTCACGCACGAATAGTTGTATTCAGACCCTAAGTTCATCGTTGCGTTTGCATCGTTGCGGGTTTTAAAATTTGTACTAAAACTGTTTTCCATTGTACTGATAGAAAGTAAATTCAAATGAGCTTTTGTACTGTATACTTTGTATCATAAACTTTGACTTTTAATCCTCTTTACAAACGTTTTGTAACAGCGCAGCAGCGCCCGTCGTCGAATAGAATCAGCAAATGATAGAATGTTTAAAATGGTAGACTGGAAGCGTGAAATTTTCCTTGTTTTGGATGTGTGAGTTGCAATTTTAAACAAAGTAAACAGCCCATTGAAATTGTGCATGAATTTAGACGACGAAAGAAGACGACTTTAAATTTTCTTTTGAGTGTCTTAGAAGAGGAAAAAAATTAAAATATATTTTATTCTGTGACGATTTTTAAAGTGATTACAATCAAGAGACACAATCCATCAAAAACGACTATTAAGTCAGAGCTACTTGCTTCGTTATTTTCACTTCCTGCTCTTGAAACACACTTGGGTTTGATTGATTCATTTATATAAGTTTTTTGGAAAAAAAGCTTACACGGACAAATAGAGGCAAAATTCTCATTTATAAAAAGCAGATTACAATAAATAGTACTTCCTATATTGCCAAAACAGTTCGAAGTAGTGCCCCCCCCCCTTAAAACTGATTATTGACTCATTTCCGTCAATCGTTTTGAAGTAAATCCAGAGTTTTAAGTTTATCACAAAAATTATGTCTTTTGCTCTGTTTAGCAAATACCTATGTATAGGATGGCCTCAGTCCTTGAATGCATTAATGACAAGGCCTCCCATGAGAAGCAACCGATTAGATATGATGTTTTCCTCAATTAACTCGGGCGATATGGCCTTGCGATGTATACTAAGAGGAAGTCACAAAAGAAAATGGGAAGTTATGTAAGAGGAAAATCAATGTAAGAGGTTTAAAAGTAATTAGTTTGCACGCGTCTTCTTTTTTGCATAATTTTGTCAGTCGTCTACTGCAGTATTATCGAGCACTGAGCATATATTCGCAGTGAGTAAAAATCACATGCCATGTTTTGTGGGCGTGTAAGGGTGGGTGTGTGTGAGGGTGAGCGTGTGTGTGTGTTCATTATGATAAGTACATAAGCTCGTACTATTTAGATGTCAGTAAATGTTGTGGCTGAAGCAACAATACTAAACACACCAGTTCTATTATAAATATGGATGAGTCCTTAATATAGCGATGATGTATGGCATTATGCCTCCTGCGCTGTTCAAAATCTTTGTGTGAAATTTGGAGTTTTTATTCACTCTGATCATGCTCAAGCAATTGGTATGATATGGGCATGTGCAGAGAATGGCTGATACCAGGTTGCCGAAGAAGGTGTTGGAGTGGGTCCCCCCAGGTAGGCGACGGAGAGAGCGTCCAGCCAAACTGTGGGTAGAGGGCATCCGTGAAGAGATGGAGAGATGCCAGCTTCCGGAGGATCTCTACCATGGCAGATTCCTGTGGAGAGTAGGCGCCGCAGAGCGCCCTAGCGCGCCGTAAAAGCGGCTTATACAGTAAATATCGGTTAATACGACGACATTCAAGAGGTCACGGGATTTCGTCGTATTAGCCGATATGTCGTATTAATCGTTGTCATATTAACTTATGGAGTTTCGCCGGGGAAAACGAAATCCGTCGTATTAGCTGATATGTCGTATTAACCGATATCTACTGTACATACATATTCACTCTAGAGTCTACGTAGCGTTCAAAGGATCCAAGAACTCACGGAGAAGAACTCACTCATTTTGCGGACTGTCGAACCATCTTCTGGACCAAATTTCACTTTGCACTCATATCACTTGTGTTCTTTAAGCACTATATAGACTCTGGAATGAAATATACACGCAATTTTACAGAGATTGTTAACAGTGTAATGAGTTTTGAACGAAGTAATAAACGTCGGTTAAAATTCATCACTTGCTGGTATGGTATGGTTTGCTGGTATGGACATGTGCAAAGAATGTCGGAGGAGAGGTTGCCCAAACAAGTTTTGGATTGGGTACCACCTGGGAAGAGGCGACGGGGGCGTCCCGTAAAGGGTTGGCGGCAGGGCGTTGACGAAGAGATGTTGCGGTGTCAGTTGCCCGATAACCTCTGGGAAGACAGGCATATGTGGCGTTTGGGTGTCGTAGAACGCCGAAGTGCGTTGTAAAGCGACTTTATATATATAAAATTCATCACGATTTTCATTATTTGAATGCAACAAAATTTTCAACCACCCTAAAATGATCGTTCCTAATAATTATAGTCGTTAGAGAACATTCTGGGAGTATTTCAGGTTTCAGTTTCAAAGTTTTGGTTGAGAAATTTTATTTTAGTTTGTATGACACTTATTTCATACCGAAAGTGATATTGTGGACGACGTCACGTCTAGGCAGTTAGTGTGCCGTGGACACGCGCAAAGCATGTCAGGGGAAAAGTTGCCAAAAATTTTTTTAGATCTAGTACCATCTGAGAAATGGTGACGGGGACATCTCATGAGGGATGGTGGCATGGCGTTGACGAGGAGATGTTGCGTTGTCAGTTGCCCGATAACCTTTGGGAGAATAGGCATATTTGGCGTTTGGGCGTTGCAGAACGCCAGAGTGCGTTGTAGCAGCAAATTTCATGCGTGTTTGAATATAGAACTTATTTGAGAATAAATGACGGTGCCATAGCTGAGCGCTGGATCAAATTAGTTGGCTTTACGCATAATAAAATTTTTTTAAAAAAAAACAAATTTAAAAAAAAAACATTTATCAAAACGATTTCTGAGCTTGGCGTCTCTATACTAACGTAAACTGTAAAAATAAAATAAAAACAATTATCTGTTTCAGCTATTCATTTGGTGACAGACGTAGCCAAAAGCTGTCATGGATATTGGCCATGGAACACTGATTTTCATAGTTGCTATGGCATGCTTATTCCCCGATACACTCCCATATCCGATGTTGTATTCGATGACCAAAATGGTGAATAGCGTCTCGAGCAATGCCATGGCGATGGGAAGCGATGGCATGAAAGTGGCCGGTCAGATGGCAGGTGGGGTCACGCCCATGGCTAACGGGGTCAACCCCGCAAACTCACAATATGCTTCACAACAGTATCAAAATCCAAATCAACAATATCCGACGAACTCTCAATATCCGGCGAGTCAGCAGCAGTACCAACAAAATCCCCCGAACCCCGGGAGCCCCCAACAATATGCTGGTGGAACAAGTCAAACACCTTATCAGGGGAAAAAACGTTGATTACTTCATGTTCCAAGTAATTTGATCTTGTTGCTTCGACGTGATCAATTGGACCGGCGTTCAGCAGAAAGGAACCAAGGCACATTAGCTATTGCCAACTTTAACTGGGCGATTTCATTTATTACAAGAGGAAGTTTGCGTGGATTCCTTCGAAAATGTTCAATAATTTGCAGCTTTGTATGCGGAAAATTCACTGAAATTTGCACGAAAATCCGAACAACACTTTTCAAGTAAAGGATTAAATTGCCCAATTAAATTTGGCGATAGCTGATGTGGCTTGGTTCCTTTCTGCCTAAAGCGATCCAGTTCAATGCACAAAAAGCAATAAGACGCAAATCAATAAAAATAACGGTCGGACATCTGAAGGCATTAAAAGCAGATAAAGTGCTGTTTCAGAAAATCACGACAAAATGAAAAGATTGTTTGTCAGTAACTTTGGCTATGCTTAAAAAGAATAAATACATTTTTCAAAATTGAACAAAAATCTCCACTCTCAATGATAATAGGAAAATGTAAATTTTAATACTTCTGCAGTGGGTTTCTAGGAATTTGTAGCCCTCGGTGTTCTGGGATATGTAATTTAGAATGTGAAATAAAATCATTTGCGAATTACAAAATGTGTAAATTTGCCTTCCTTTTTTCACTCCTCGCTACTCCCGCAACTTACATTTTTTAGGATAACTTCCTTGAAAGAGAAAAATATTAAAAAGTTGGCGCAGGTCTTTAGGTTGATGATTAATCAAGGGAATATCAAGATGCAATAAAATCAGTTCCTTTCGTGAATCATATTCGAGTAGTTATTCATAAAAGATCGATTACTCTGATCAATTTCAATACATGAAACAGACCCTCAATATTGGTCATGCGTCAACTCCAAACTTCTTTTTATTAAGAGTATTTCAATTTTATTTACGGTGGGTTTTTCAAATGCCTTGAAATGCAAGGCACTTTTACAAATAATAATATGCTTTCGTCTAACTTCAAATAAAACGAGTCAATTGCCCCGCCCTAGAGTAAATATTACCTTGCGGTGAGCTAACCATCACCTTGCGGCAAGGTATCGGCCTTGCCATCCTCTCCGAACCCTATCCGAGCCCTCGCCGAGCCAGTTCAAGGAACTCGACGACCGGGAATAAAACCGTATGACAACACTGTAGACCCAAATCCAGACGCAGGGCGCGAAAAAGGCGACACAGCATCGGGAAATACCCCGTGTTGGGTTTGATTTTCGTCTCCAGCGTTGAGTTCCCTGTCGTTAAGTTCCACGAACTGACCCGGCGAGGGCTCGGATAGGGCTCGAAGAGGGTGGCAAGGCCGATACCTTGCCGCAAGGTGATGGTGAGCTCACCGCAAGGTGATGGTGAGCTCACCGCAAGGTAATATGTTCGCTAGGGGTAGATCGAGTCAAATAAGAATCCCACCTAAAAGCAATTAAAGTAAGCTAGGTTCAATACAGGTCATTTCAGCGAGCCAATCCGAGTCATTCAGACTTTCAGTGTCAGAAAGGTCAGAATACTCGTAAAGTCAAAAGTTACTCGAAATGGCAGTCAAAGTTGACTTACCCTATTATGGGAATATATTTTTACTTATAAGTAGATAAATATACTGTGGAAAAAAATTTCTCACCAGAAACTGTTCAGCTGTCATTCGTCATTTTTACTCGTATTTGCGGTATATCTTGAATGGAAGTTTCTCTCCCACATTTTCTCTCTCACGCTATTTTTAGAATTTAAAATAAATGTAAAAGAGAACAGCAAGCAAATTTTATGCCGCTAGATGTTTGAGTAAAATGGTGTGGAGAACGCTTCTTGAACAAAGAGATTAATACGTTCGAACGACTTCATACTTCATCATATCAATGCAACAGCTCTCGCAGCGTTGAAAATATACGTCTTGAAAAAAAGAGCCAGATTCACTATGTAGGATGGACAAAAAATTTACCTCGGGATATATATTTGAGATGCGAGGTGTGATGATTAAATGGATCCACTAAAAAAAATTCCCTGGGGAGTTGCTTTGAGCACGTGAATGGGATGGGAGACGATGGTGAAAATCTGTATGGTTGGATTGCCACAGAAGTATGAGGGACGCCTAGACGACCACCTAAGGAATACGCACAGAGCTGGTTTTTATCCTCGCAAAGATGATTTAATATAACATTTGACGACTGTGCGTTTGGATCCATACTAAATTTTCCTTTAAAATGTTCGTACTACTATGCTTGTCTGGCATACTGAAGGCCGGACAAACATGGCTTTTGCTCTTGTCATAGGAAGAGAGAGAACAACAACACATTAATGAAAGTCCACACTTCAAATTAAAAGTCGCATTCCAATAATTTTGGAAAAGTCAATAGACTCACAATTTCAGTTTAAAAATATAAAAATAATAATTTTTTTCCGATGGATTATTTTTGGTGGTAGAAAAATTGCCGGCACAGTCTAATTATCGATAGAAACATTTCCTAGCAGAGCCCCTTCAATGCTAAAGAAAATAATAAAAAAGAGGAAGGAACCTAAATTAGCCTGGTATGATTTAGAAGACCTAGAACCAGTTTCGTCCCGGAGAGTCCTCGAAATTTAATTCAAACAAAATAATAGCCCTTTCAGAAAAAAACTAGAAATATACGCTAACTAACGTGGATTGATCAAGTCCTCCCTTTCTAAGAACAATTTCAAGGTATTTTGGGCTAAACATTTCAACTAACTTTCCGTATGTCCTGTATTTTCCTTATTACCTCTGCGTTTCCTGCTGGACCTATTTTTGCAACAATTATCATAAATTTAAAAAAAAAAAAAAAAAAAAAAAAAAAAAAAAAAACTTCCGAGTAAAATTCCAAACTTCCTTATTTTGCACTCAGCGTGGAGACACAAAGATGAAGGTCACCGGAAATGAGCCAATGGTGAAGATTAGGTTCCTCCTCACAGTCGAGTCCCGGAAATCCAAGAACAATTGAAAAGAAACACTTCTTATTGCATAATCGCGACTATAAAATTCAACTGAAGACAAAAATAGGTTTATTCAATTGTTTGAAGTCGTCAGCGCAGTATCCATTCATTCATAACTACTTGTGAGTATTGTTTCGTCCGTATTGTTTCGTCCATTCGTATATTTACTTTCGTCCTTAATTTTACACATTTTTTAGCGATTTCGGTATTGGGAAAAATAAGGCAGTTCCTTCGAGGAAAAAAAGAGGGCATCGTAGTTCCTTACGTTTAGCATCTTTAATTGAGAACCCTCCGTCGTTTCTCAAACGAAGGAACATAATCCCACCTTGATATGGCAAACTTGACTCAAATAATTCTTTAATTTCTTACAGGGATCTGAGCGTGCAATTTAAGCCCTATTGTGAAATCAGAAGAACAACAAGTAAAATTGTGAGTTAGAACAGCCGAAAAATCTCCCGAGAAGACGCACGCTTTGTAAATGGAAATTTTGCATCGTTGAAATGTAGTTACGTGCCTCCGTCTGGAAGACGACGATTCGTGTCAGGACAGAGGCATAAGGCGTGAACGATCGATTGTCGATATTTCCCTATTTGAAGCTGTGGAAAAGAGTCGAATATTAAGACGTTCGTTGCGAACAGTCTGTTTATCGATCCTTTTCTATAGGTTCAAATGGAAGATCAATCGATAGATCGCAAAGCACGCCACGTCACTGGAATTATGAGGATGAACGAGTAATGATCAATTTCGTTGTTTTCGGGCGAAAGAATGTACCTGGCTACATTTTGACGTTGCGTAATTTTTACTTTTAAATCGTATTTTTTCCATGAACTGTTGGGATCTCTGACTGAAAATTATACTGATTTTCCTCTGATAATATGTGCGCACGCCCAAAACTCAGGAAAATTTTGGAAAGAAATTTCCCAGTCATGTTCTTTCCAAAAAATTTATTGTCTGGGGTCAATTTTGCGGAAATGGAATGAAGTTACGTTCCTTAGTTACATAGAAACGATGATTTGGACAGTGGGACCTGAATGGCCCGGCGTATTTTTCTCTCATTTTAGTAATGGCCCTTTAGTTAATGACTTTAAAAGGGATTTCTCCTCAGCATTTGTAAACAGATTTTTAACAAAATGATCCTGATGGTCGACGTCATTGGAATGACTCTGAACCTCAGTCCTGTATGCAAAGGCATATAAGGCCTTTTTTCGGCGAAAAAATATCGTATGCCAAGTAATTGACCCTATCGATTCTACTGAAGAATTTTCGCGCAAAGGCTCGATGAGGTGAAAAATCGGACATTTTTTCCAAAGCTCACCACGGGGCGAGAAATACATTCAGAGTTTTTTTTTCCAATAAACCTTAATTGTGTCTACTCTCCAGATATGTTTTAGTTTTAGGTATGTATGTGTTAGTCAACTCATTAGTAGCTCTGAAATCAATAGTAGACATGCCATCATTTCGAGCCATACTTTTGCGAGGCACCTCCTATCACCAATCAATTGCTCAAGTCCTCAAAATTGCTTCTAGTATTCATGCTTTTTTAAGCGCTCAGCCGATAGGCAGCTCTTTTTGATTTCGACTTGCCTCTAGAGTACTAGTATACTAGTGCTAATTCGTTTAAATGGCGCACCAGCTCATCGATGTGTAGGCTTTTGGGGGGGGGGGGCCAGTTTTAAAATAAATAAAGCTGTGAAAACCGTATTTTACGCTTTTAACGTAATGCGCGGGTAGTTTCAATCGTTTGTCTATAAGAAAATTCCTTAGCGGAAGAGTAATTCTTATCGAAATTGATCGTTGAAAATAAATGAAGCCTAAAAAAAAAAACGCGCCCATGATGAGCTTAACGGTGACTATCATTTTCGGGAAACGAAAAAACGCGTTTACGGTTTCCTTGGTAAACCTTTGTTTGCTATCAGCTGATGTTTTATTTCCATCACCCAGCAAAGTCGACGGAGTTTATACTTCCTTTCTTCACTAAATACATTGACTAACACCTGAGCGCTTTTCTAATACGACAGTATTAGAACTTTCCCGCTTGTTTTACATTACCGACGATAGTATCTTTTCAATTAATCAAAGACCACTCAAAGGGAAAATAATTCTTGTCGATCCTGTGCGTGAAAGATATGATGTTGTTGTAAGTAATTTGGGAACCAAATTAGTCCATGTTATTATTGACTTTTCATTTATCACCTTGTGCACTTAATGAGAATTAGTAATTATGATTACTCCTTTCGTAGTTTAATCAACATTTTATGGTTGCAGTGTGTCGCAGCATGATGTTCAAAATGCAAGTGATTGCCATCGTGGCCTCCCTATGTTTGATCCTTTTTTTCAATCCTCCTATCGTCGAGTGCGGCCCCGTGCCAGACAATTTTATGAGCGGTGTGGCGGGCACAGCGGCAACATTTGGTAGTAATGTGGTGAGGGGTTAAGGAGTGTCAGCGACGGACTCAAAATTCGCATCAAATCTCCAATGACGAACTATTTTCCTCTTCAAACTCGATCAAACTCCGACACAAGCCACCTAAAACTCACTGCCTGAATATAATTCTGACTTTCAATTCTGTTCCAAACTAACAAGAGCACTCATCAAAATATGTTTAAAGATACGACTGTTACCTACTCTTAAGAATAACAATAAGCTTGTGCTAAAATTTCAATTTTGTTGGATGATCATAAAATATTTTTCAGTTCTGAATTAAACATTTACAATGCTTTTCATCACATAATTTTGTTATTTTTTCACTCCAAAAGTCAATAGTAGTCCCTCGTAAGTTACTTTTAAGATACATTTTACGGCGCCTTGAAACTCTTTTCAGTACGAAGTCTGAGAAAGCATGCCCTTTGGCAACTTTTCAAGACCCTTTCCTAAGAGCTATGGCAGTAAATATTTGACAGCATACAATGCATATTGTAAAATTGTATTATTCCAATTTCTTTCAAAAATATTATTCTGATGAGGACGGGACAATGCGTTCTGTTTCAATGAGAAGCTATTGATCAAATATCCTCGGACATATCTTGGAGACCTCGAGAGGTTTGAGAATATGAAGGTCTATTTTGAGTGCGACCTATGTACCGTTGACACTTTACATACTAAATTATTATTCCAGATCTCAACTAAAACCGATGTGTAGACGAACTCGTTAAATTTGATTTTGCGGTTTTGAAATTCCTCTCTTCATTTCTTTAAAGAAGTTTAAACGAGTAATTGATTTGATCTCTCCTCGTACCACAGGATTTTGAATTTTTTACGAAATTTAACGCTTATTGAGAATAACTAAAGCTTAGAAATCTCAATATCAGAACGCGAGTACGTTTAGAACGGAGGTATGTCGAAGAGATGGTTAAAATTTCGCCCAAAGTGGGAAAATTTAAAAAAAAATGCGAAAATGTCACAAAATAATGAAACAATCCAGTTTCTTTTTTCTTTGGGAGAAGGAAAAGGAATTTAACTTCAATTAAGGAAATAAGTCGTTTCTCACGGAAATTGAAAGGATACCTATATTGTACTCGTAATTTGTACAAGCTGAACATGGGCAGAAATGGGGCAGGGCTAGACCTCCCCCTTCCCCCCCAAAAAATTTACTTGGCCCCTCTCAAGAAATGTGATTGATTTTGCGAAGTAAGTGCATCTTGTCTTGCATCTTGGGCATTTGAATTTGATCAATTTTTCGGTGAGAGCAGCTCAAAAATACTCCCAAGACAGCTCATTTTCTACAAATTTTCCCGAAAAAGGCCAGGGAACCCATCTTTAAGCTAGGGAAATGCTCCGCTCCTGCAGCCTGATTTTTGAAACTCTAATTAGAGATTACGGGACGCTTGGTCCAATTTTCTTTGTCCATTAATTTTTTTCGTCCTTTTTATTTTGTCCACGGTTTTTTGCCTTCGAAATCTCGTTCAAGTGAAATTCGTCCTGGTACATAGTTTGTCACACGTTTTTGTTCGTCCTGCGTTTTAGGTCACATTTGTTTTTGTCCTGTAAGGTCATATATCCATTTTTATACAATCAACGATCCATTCATCAAGAGACGGAGATTATGAGTAATGACGCATGATGTATGCTCATTGCAAATCATGAAATGATTAGCAACATTGCCAGAAATTACAAATACTACAAGTAAATGAGATCTACCACACTCAGACGAAGAAGACGAGGACAAGGACTGAGTTGAGCTGAAAGGTTCTTATACACTTTATAAGCACATTTCTCTTTTTCGACTGGGTCTTGAACCTAAATTTTGGACCTAAGTTTTTGACCATACTAGACCACACAAATGTGACCTAAAGACGCTGGACGAACGAGAGCGTAGGACTTACTATTTAGCAGGACCAATTATTGAGGGGCTTGGAGGACAAGGCGCACAAGTGCAGTTTTTGCTATTTCGAAAAATATGAGTTTGAAATTTCGAAATTATATGGATCCTTGTGGCGGAAAGAATGTTCGAACAGACTTTTTGATGCCTAAAAATTGTAATTCGGGAGCGAATTTTCCACAGAATACCTATGTATTAAGACTAGTTTTACTTGAAACCGTTCATACGATATCTCAATTTTTTTCAAAAACTGCACTTATGCGCCTTGTTCTCCAAGCCTCTCAATTTCACTTGGGCAAGATTTCGAGGGCAAAAAACCGGGGGCAAATTAAATTGGGCGAAAAAGTTTATAGACAAAAAACTTGGACCAAAAGTCCTTTAACCTTAACTAGCTATGCCAAAACGCAGCCCTATTATCTGCGCTGTATCATATATCGATTTTCGATTGTTTTCGTGCCGGCATAAATTCCAACAATCAGGCTGCTGTAGCATTAAAAGCTAGAAATTCATCAGACCTTCCTTGGCCTGGTGTCTTTTAGTGCCCCTCGTGGACCTTTTTTCATGAGGTGCTCTTCTACCCCCGCACCCTCCCCGCTACACAAATTCTACTTTTGCCCACGAAGTGAAATCTTCGGAAGCACTGACAAATTATCGGACCGATGAGAATGATCCCCAGACTCACAGCTGAGTCGACGTATGCGGAAACGTCCGATTTCCAAGACAGTGTTTCAGATTTTGAGTGGACAATTTCGTTATAACTTAACGACACAAGATGGTTTCAGACGTTAGGAATGTAGAACAATTTTATAAAAAATCCCGTAAGGGTAATCAAACGTTTACAAAAGAGATCGATACTATTCATTAGTGTCGTGGGACAAAAGAAACCCACCGCAATTATGAAACCCTGTATTGGACGACGGACGTTTTCGCATACGTCGATTCAATTAGTATCGACTTCGTATAAGCTGTACATTTGCGAATAATTATCAAACCCCCAACTTTTGATAACTTGGAGCTTTTATAGCGCAGTTCGCGAGGGTACAACGCCAAAGGTACCGAAGATATGCGGTTTTAGCACGAAATGTCTCGGAGCTAATGGGTCTATTGCACGATAGAGTTACAGCCAACCGAAGATATTTTTCAAGAGTAAAATCGCTCGAAAATCACAAAGGGCACTTAAACAAAGTCTGATATCCACTCCTCAGCACACAATCTGCTTAGTTTGTACCACGATTTTTCGAAACTGCGTCTTCGGGCAGTTTTCTTAATGATCGGCAGTCAGGTTTGCAATAACCCATAAATAAAGAAGCAATCTCGTGAACTGTTCCAAACTGTCCTTGCGTAAGAGTTCCATGTATTCAAAGTTTTTGTTTTTCAAAATAAGAAAATAAAAAGGAAACAAACACAAGAAATCATAGAAGAGAAAAAGTTAGTAAAATTGTTTATTAACTCAGGTTAGTTGGACTGCATTTTGCAATTTGGACCTATAAATTCTGGCTCATTTGAAGAAACACTTATGAGCATAGGGAAACTAATGGTACGCACGTTGTTTTTAAACCGGGCCGGAATTTATAGTTCCTAATTGTAAAATGCAGTCCAGTTGTTTTTACTCCTCTGCCCGTGCAAAACTGGTCGGGGGTGCCTCAGAAAAACTGCCTGCAGATGCGGGAAAACTGAAAAAGCGTGATACAAACTACGCAAATTGCGCGCTAAGGAGCGGATTAAAGACTTGTTTGATGCGTTTAACGTTATTTTCGAGGGATTTTACACGTAAAGTGTATATTAGTTTGGCTGTATCTTTTGCATGCAATAGACACATTTGACCTAAACCCAGCGATAACAACAAATATCTCTGTCCGCCGGAGTTGCGTCCCTCCTCGAAGGGTTGTCGCGTAAGATAATCCAAAGGCTTCTTCGTGCTTTTGTTTCGGCCAAATTTGTAATCAGCCTACTCTTTCTCTCTTCTTTTGTCAACCTTCGAATAATAAATTGTCGGAAACAATTGTTTATTTCATCCATTTAGTCCAGGTTCTTATGTTCAAAAAAAGCTTCCCGTGGAACGGTAAGTGAAGCAAGTGTGGAAAATATCTTAATCTCTTCATTTCGATGCGTAAAAAAAGAATTTCGATGTTGTCAAGCTCAATTTTGCGTCTAACCCCCCAAAATCAAGATGGCGGCCAAAATGGGGGCTCGGGGGGTGAAAATTATGGAATTTGATTTTGATGTCATG